TCACATTAGCCTAACTTTTACTCCATACAATCTGTCTCATGTTGTATCTTCAAAATTCCTTGTCTCTTTTCCTCCCTTCCTAAATACCATCTGCATTTCTTTGTCCTCCAGGTCACAGTTTCCATCTATCACTGCCCCAGTGAATAGGGTCAGGAAGAACCCCATGTGTTCCAACCCAGAGACTATTTTGATTCTAATTGTTGTTGTTGTTGTTGTTGTGTGCCGTGGAGTCGGTTCTGACTCACAGCGACCCTGCACAGGGTTTCCAAGGCTGTTAATCTTTATGGGAGCAGAACGCCTCATCTTTCTCCCACGGAGCAGCTGGTAGTTTCGAACTGCTGACCTTGCAGTTCGCAGCCCGATTCGTAACCACTATGCTACCAGTCTTCCAAATGGAACACTGGAGAAAAAAACCCATGCCACTCTTTTATTGCTTCATCATATAAATTCTAGGTGTGCAAAAAAAGAAAAAAAGTGTACTAACCATCCCTCCCATGGTACTCTCAACTTCTTATCTAGGTTCAAGAATTCAATGCAGCAGGCACACAGAACTGAGGAACTCTACTATTATATGGGATTTGTTAGCGAAGTTAATGGGTTAGAATGCAAGATCAGAAAATGCTCAGGGTACAGTTCTTCCAGTCAGAGTCTCTCCTCTGCTGTACCCACAGACAGGTCTCTCTCTGACACTTGGTCCCTTGGCCTGGCCTCACACTTGTGTGTCTGCTGATAAATGTTTTCAGGGCACCCAACTCCACCATAAACCTCAGCCTGAAAGTACTTATCTCTAGCTCTGTGGATCAGCAAACCTAATTCCCCCAATTAAATGTCTGGTGGCACTCCACTCCACAAATGAGCCTCATGCCGAAAGGCACTCAGCTTTTCTTGCTCCAAGGGTTGGGAAGCCACTTCTTTGTCTCCTGCACTGCATCTTGGTTCTACTGTTGCTGCATCTCTAGCACTCCTCTCCTACTCACAACTTTCTGCCCCTGGATTGAGGAGGGTCAAGGAGCAGGGGTCTCTGGGTCCAAAAGACATGCTCTACTCTTGGCATTTTCTTCTTGATGGTATTGAGATTCCCCCCTCCCTCTATTCATATGGCTTATTGTATATATGCTAGAGTTCCATGTTTTTACAGTCATGATTAACCCTGTTAGCAATCACTCACAACTGAATCATATAATCCATCAAAATCTTCCCCCACCTTCTCTCACCCAGACCCATCAGAAAAAAGTTGTTCGGTGGGGCTTACAAAGACATGGCTAGAAGAGACTTTAAGTAATGACATGCATGACAAGGTGTTTCTGTTTATAATATTTTTATAGTAAGAAGGGTTGAGAATATCATTCTATCAAAAGTGTCAGACTTTTCCGTAAGTGATATAGAAGTTAATTTTCATAGCTCAGTATACAATACAGTAAATCCCTCGTGTGTGAACAAGAATCATTCGTAAGTAGATCTTTACGTTGAATTTATAAGTAAGTCAGAAAATGCTCATAAAGTTATTTAGCCTTACTTGAGTACAAGACAAGGATGGAAGTCTTATCCATGATTTAAAAGCTGCATGTATAGCAAGTGAAGGTAATTGTGGTGAATAATTTGTTGTAAATTGGGGTCAGTTCAATCATTTCAAAGTAAGGACACATTTATATAACATTAAAGGGCAAGTATGAGAGCAAATTATTGAATGATGCACAAAGCATCAAAAGAAAATGGAAGGAATACAGAATCACTGTACCAAAAGGAAATTGTTGATATTTAGCCATTTCAAGATGTAGCATATGATCAAGAGCCAATGATACCGAAGAAAGAAGTCCAAGGTGCATTGAAGGAATTGACAAAGGCCAAGGGAACTGATGAAATACAAATTGAAATCTTTCAAAAAAGTGAGGTGGTGCTGGAGGCACTCTCTCATCTATACCAAGAAACTTGGAAGACAGCTATCTGGCCGATTGATTGGAAGAGATCCATATTTGTGCCCATTACACAGACAGGTGACTCAACAAAAGGCGGAAATCATCAGACAATCTAAAGGTAATGCAGAAATGGCTGCAAGCTTGCATTGACAGATAACTTCCAGAGGTTCAAGATGGATTCCAAAGAGGACATGGAATGAGGGACATCATTGCTGATGTCTGATGGATCTTGACTGAAAGCAGAGTACCAGAAAGATGTTTACCTGTGCTTTATTGACTACACAAAGGCTTTTGATTGTGTGGATCATGACAAGCTACGGACAACATTGCGAAGTATAAGTATTCTGGAACACTTAATTGTGCTCATGGGGAATCTGTACCTAGACCAACAGGCAGTTGTTTGAACAGAACATGGGAACACTGGATGGTTTAAAATTAAGCAAGGTGTGCGACATGATTGTATACTTTCACTCTACTTATTCAACCTGTATGCTGAGCAACTAATCCAAGAAGTTGGGTTCTATGAAGAAAAACATGGCATCAGGATTGGAAGAAGACTCATTAACAACCTGCGATATGCAGATGATACAACCTTGCTTGCTGAAAGGGAAGAGGAATTAAAATATTTACTGACGAAGATCAAAGAGCACAACCTTTGGTATGGATTGTATCTCAATGTAAAGAAAACAAAACCCCTCACCACTGGACCAATAAACAACATTCTTATGAACAGAGAAAAGATTGAAGTCCTGAAGGACTTCAGTCTTCTTGGATCAACTATCAACACTCACAGAAGTAGCAGCCAAGAAATCAAACGACATACTGCATTAGGCAAATCTGATGCACAAGACCTTTTTAAAATGTTGAAGAGCAAAGATGTCAGCTTGAAGACTAAGGTGCACCTGACCCAACCCATGATGTTTTCAGTAACCGCATATGCATGTGAAAGCTGGACAGTGAATAAGGAAGACTGCAGAAGAATTGATGCTTTTGAGTTGTGGTGTTGGAGGAGACTATTGAAAGTGCCATGAGCTGCCAAAAGAACCAACAGATCCGTGTTGGAAGAAGGGCAGCCAGAGTGCTCCTTGGAGGCTGGGATGGCCAAACTTCGTCTCTCATACTTTGGACATATTGTCAGGAGGGACGAGTCACTGGAGAAAGATATCATGTTTTGTAAGGTGAAGGATCAGAGAAAAAGAGGAAGACCCCCAGCAAGATGGATTGGCCAAGTGGCAGCATCAATGGACTCAAGCATGGCAACGATTGTGATGTTGGTGCAGGATTGGGTAGTGTTTCTTTCTGTTGTGCATATGGTCACTATGAGTAGGTACCAACTCAATGGTACCTAACAACAACAACATGAGTTGTCTCTAAGTTCACAATTTGGGGGCTTACTGTGCTTGTGTTTCCATTATGCAGCTTAATGCGTTCAAGCTCTGAGAGACTGTAATTTATATAAACACAGTCAATATAAGTGGTGGAGTCAGTTCCCTTCATTATTTCTTTTCTTCCAAGCATAATCAGGGATTAACGTGTTGCCACTGAGTCAATTGGGACTCATAGTGACCATAGATGATAGAGTAGAAGAGCCCATTGGGTTTCTAAGGCTGTAATCTTTACAGAAGCCGACTGTTACATTTTTCTCCATAGAGTAACTGGTAAATTTGAATGGATAACCTTTGGGTTAGTAGCCAAGCACATGAAGCACTACACCAGTAGGGTTTCTTGGACCAGGAGGCTGTTGTATTTAAATGCCGTTGAGTCAGTTCTGACATTTATCAGCCTTGTATGGTGTGCTTCTGAGGAGCAGCTGATGAGTTTGAACTGTTAACCTTGTATTTCCAACAGATCTTATTGTCCAGTGCTTATCCTCTAGTATCACACTTGAACTCCCAGGGCTGGTGGTTGTTGCTGTTAAGTGCCATTGAGTTAGTTCTGACTCATAGTGTCTCTGTATAGGGTTTCTGAACCAACATTTCAGTCTAGTACTTACCCTACAGTGTTATACCAGAAGGGAGGTGTAACACTTATAGAAAATGATCAGTTGTGTTGTGAAGTGCCATTGAGTCAGTTGGTTATAACTGAGTAAAACTGGAAAGAAAATTGTTACTTAAAGAAGGGAAACGCTGAACTCCTTGACAAATTTTATTTGGCTAGCTTGACTGTAGAAACCCACCAAGGCTCTCAGCTAGATAAAGATGAGAAGGTCTGCTCCCTAAACACTTGCAGTCATGGTACTTCTATAGATGGTTCAGATCAACTAATGGCAGTGATTTTAGTTTGGTTTTGGGCTTAGATAACTTTTTACTTCCTGAGTATCCTTTCTGGGGCAGTTTTCCTTTAAGCTGGCATTTCTGGTCTGAGGTGTATTTAAGATGAGTTAATTCCCTAGCAAATGTGGCAGAAATTAACTCAAAATGTGTAAATCAGCACTTGTCCAAAAGTATTGCAAATTATTTATAAATGAAGACATCATTCTCTGAAAGTTGACAAAAAAGATGCAATCATATGCTTACAGCTTCTGAAATTTTGATATATGTACACACGGCCAGATAAAATACCAGCCTAAAATTCTCACTGCAAATGAGAAACAAAGTTGAACAGGAGCTGAGCATGTGTGAATGGACTAGATAAAGAATAGACCTGTTTAGACAAGATTCAATTTGAGTCACCTTAGAATTATGGCCAACTGGTAGCTGTTGTTATAAGTGAAAACACCTTAGATCATTCATCAGTAACAGCTTGCTTTGGAACCTGGAAGCCCTTCTCTTTGTTCTTTCTTTCTCACCTCTGAATGGAAAGCAGATTGTCTTCATATTTTAATTAATTTTCAATTGTTAAATCAAAGGATTTGAATAGCTCTTTCACTAACCTTGTTTTCATTGTACAATAGACCATGTGTTAGCTTGGCTTCTTGATCATTCAAGAGAATGAAAATGTGCTAACCACAGAAACCTGCACAGGTTGTTAAAGGCTAATAATAATTGTTCCCATGTTTCTGTTTATTGTGCACATTTACTCCTGGACAGTTATTATATTAACTAGTCAAGGTATGTGTCAAATGTTAATGTCTTGTTGTTGCAGATACAGATGTGGTGTATAAAACCAAGAATGGACATGTCATTAAACTGAATATAGAAACAAATGCTACCACATTATTATTGGAAAACACAACTTTTGTAAGTAATGAAAAATTAATTACTTTATACATTTCTGTACTGTTTGGAAACCTCTCTAGGTGTACTTAGTTCCCTATTCTTCTGCTCTAGCATTTGCATAGTATTACAGGTAAAAATTTAGAGCTGCAATACCATTAAAATCAGTAGGTCTGTTGACAGAAAATACCTATGAGCCATCTGCTTCATGTTTGCCACATTTACCCTTTATTGTAAATGAGTAAATGTTTCCAGAAATAATACTTGCTTACAGTGAGTACGTCTTCTGATATTTTCTATGTAAGATAAATCATACAGTGTCAAGTTTTTTGTTTTTTGTTTTAAATGTTTAGTTTTTAGGCCAAAATCTTATTACCTTTCCCTCCTTCCTAAAATTTTTATTTTTAGTATTTCATTTTATTTCCCCCTTAACTTTTCATTCCTCCTGATATTTCTAATTCTGTTGTTTTCTGGATCAGTCAGAAGACAGACTAAACTGCTCTTCTGCTGGAGTTCATATAATTTACTGTTAGATTTTACAATTATATCACCACTGTTCCACAATAATTATGTAAACTAGCAATGTTTAGATGTATGAAATATTTATAATGTCATTACAAAATGTGAAGAAATCATCTTTCTCGGTCATTATAATTGATATCCAGTCCTCTTAAGGTATGGAGATTTTTCTATTATTACTTAGTTACAAAGTCATAATGAATTAATATTAAAATTGTTCAGAATCTAGCTATCAAACACTGATAAATACACTACATGTGTTCACTATTTTATAGGGCAGTTAGTATATTTATAAACAAAGGACAATATATTGCTTATTTTGTTGTTGTGTAGTGCTGTCACATTGGTTCTGACTCATAGTGACCATATATAGTGTTTCTGAGGAGCAACTGGTGGGTTTCAACTACCTCCTTGAAGTTCAAATTGCCCTTGTGGTCCAGTGCTTAGCATATATCCCAGCACCATACCAGGAGTCCATAGTGTTTATTTTGTTTTTTATTTTAGTATCATCAAGTTGGTTTCTACTCATAGTGACCCTGAATAGAGTTTCTGAGGAGTAGCTAGTGGATCTGAACCACTGATCTTGCAGCTCAAACTGACATTGAAATCCAGTGCTTATCCTATACCACCATTAGGGAAGTTCATATAACACAGACAAAACAAAGCCTAAGACCTCAGTAGACATTTCATTGAAACAATGAACAAAACCAGTAGCTACATTATTTTACATATTCCTACTTTAAGACGCTCTGGTAGCATAGTGCTTACAAGTCAGGCTGCTAACCTCAAGGTCAGCTAGTTGAAAGCTACCAGCATTTCCGCAGGAGAAAGATGAGCCTTTCTGTTCTCATAAAGATGTACAGCCTCGGAAACCCTATACAGGGTCACTATGAGTCAGAACGGACTCCACCACACACCCCCACCACCACTTTAAATTTAAAGGTGTCCTGGTAGTATGTTGTTGCTGTTAAGTGACACTGAGTTGGTTCTGACCCATACCCACCCTAAATAATGTTTCCAAGGAATGACTGGTAAGCTTGAACCACCAACTTTGTGGCTCGAACCAACTTTGCTGTCCAGCAAATTAATCCACATCACAACACCGGGACTCTTGGTAATATTTGTTGTTGTTAAGTGCTGTCGAGTCAGTGCCGACCCATAGCAACCCTGTATAGAGTTTCCAAAGAACAACTGGTAAGCTTGAACCGTGACCTTGCAGTTCAAATGGTTTTGCAGTCTGGTGCATTGACCCACAGCATCATACCAGCATTGTTGTTGTTGTTAGGCGCCATCGAGTTAGTACCGACTCATAGCAACCTTATGCACAGCAGAGCAAAATACTACTTTCCAATCCTTAGCCAATCTCATTACTGTTGCCACGCTTGAGCCCATTGATGCTGCCACTTTGCCAATCCATCTCGAATTGGGCTGCTAGTCACAGGCCAGCAGCTAAAATCTATCATGTGCTTGCAGGAAGAAAGATGAGGCTTTCCACTCCCATAAGGATTTCCAGCCTCGGAATGCTACACAGGGTTGCTATGTGTGGGAACTGACTTCAGGGTACACCACCTCCACTTTAAATTTAGGAGTCCTGGTAGCATAGTGGATTACGAATCGTGCTGCTAACCACAAGGTCAGCAGTTCAAATCTACCAGTCACTCTGTGGGAGAAAGATGAGGCTATCTGATTCTGTAAATATTTACAGCCTTGGAAACTCTATATAGGGTTCCAATGAGTGGGAACTGATTCCACCACACAGACCACTTTAAAATTGGAACAGACAGTTAATCTTTATGTTTTATTATTAGTTGGCCATGTTGAAGAGATGGACT